AGCAAGGTGGGGGGAGGGGGAAAGGGAAGAAGAGAGAAAAGAAATGGGAAAGAAACAGGGAGGGAGAAAAGAGAAAAGGAGAAAAAAGGAAAAAGGAGAAAAGAGATACAGGAAAGAGAAACTGGGGAAGAGGATCTGACACAGGCAAGGAGGGAGAACATAAAGAAAGTGCAAGGGTCGTGATGTTGCAGAAGCAGAGAAGGAAGATGGAGAAAAGATCACAGTTCCTGAAACCAGGTGGATAAGAGGAAATAATTGGACTTTACTTGTTGGAGCTGGAATATGGGGGGCTGAAGTGCCTACATATAAGGTCAGATAGTTAACTTGGAATGATCATTCATTAATTGGAAGTAGGTGGCTTCCCTTAAGTGCTCAGATTAAAGCTCTGATCAAAACCAAGAGGTGCAGGTACAGGAGGCGAGAGCTGGACATGGGAGTATTTAGCAAAAACTTGACAGCAGGAAAGAGCAAGTAAATTGCTTTCTCTGGAAAAGTTTTCTTCAGTTTTTTAAATAGATATTCAGGAGGCACCAAGATCCATTAGAGTAGAGCAGCAGCTCTCTACTGTGACGAGTTGGGACTTGCTTACTGCTTGATAGCCAGTCTTTCTAATTCTCTAGATAGTAGAGTGATAGGGACCATCATAGTAATTTGAGAGAAAGAAATAATAAAACTCTGGCTATGTATAGATGTTCATTTTCTCTTGGGAGAGTTGCTGCTCTCCCATGAGAAACCACGAGTCTATAGATATTCATGATTTTTCTCCCAGAGCAAAAATGGCCTCAGAGAGAAATAACTTGGGAACAACCTGAATGAAATGGCTCTGGGGAGAATATCTCTTGGGAGACCAGAAGTTTGTCCAGGTACCCATCTGTGTGAAGCTGCAGAGCAGTTCTTGAGAAACCCTGTAAGCTTTACTCCCTGTTCTCCCCCTTCACAGGTCCAGAGAGACTGGCAATCCCAGCCAAGCAGGGAGAAGAATATGCCCCCTGAGTGCTTCAGACTGGAAAGGCTCAGTGCTGAAGCACTGAATGGGGTGTGTTTTGCCCCTGGCTTTTTTAGCCACAGCCAGTCTCCTGCTCCTCACTGAACTGGCAGCCCATCCCAGCCCCATCACTGAACTGGTAAACTGCCAGGCCCTGTCACTGACCTGGCAAGCTTGGTACCCCCTACCTGGACTGCAGTACTTGGTGCTCTAAGCAGCAGTTCTCATTTTGGGGTCCACGAGCAGGTTTCAGGGGGCCCATGATCTCCAAGGTCAGCTGGGGCAGCCCTTGCCTGGGCTGAGCCTGCTGCTGCTGCTAGTTTCAGAGAAAAATGTAAAATTTTTCCTTTAAATATTTTCTCCCAGATCATTTGAATGTGTGTACACAGCCTCCGTTCCTCCCAAATAGGGCAAAGCAGTAATTCTGTAAGTTGAATTGCTGGGACTTTGTCTTATACAGAGTTCTGGCCCCTTGTAGACATTCATTTAATGACAAGCTGAGATCTCATCTCAACAATTGTGTGTCTTGACATGCCTGCCTGCTAATTTAATCGAAAAGCCTCCCTGTGAAAGGGCCGCCCCAAGGCTGGGTCTCATGTTAGCCCACCCACCTGTCTAGGGCACTCTGCCCCGTCCCACCTGCCATGACTTGATGTTCTAGTTGGTAACATAAGTGGGAGGCTGCCCATTCCTTGCCCCCGTGCCAGGGGGTGCTATCTATGGGTCTTTACTTGCCCTATACTGTGGCCCATGTCTCACAGATGACATCCAGATTATTATTGCTCCCCAGCTTCAGATCGGGACAAACTCAGTCCAGTGTTGGGCCTCTTACACACTCATACTGTCCACCTCTCACAGGTACCTCTAGCATACTGCGCATCACTGGACCACTCTCTGCTGCCCTGCTCCCCGGAGCAACCCCTTTTGCCATCGAGCTTTACTACTCTTACTCTGGCATGGCACGCATAGCATCTTTGGTTTGCTCAAGCTTTGCTACCCTACATGACCTTATCTTTCTGCTAAACATTGGGCTGACTCTGCCTCTAGTTCCTCACCAGGCAACTTGATCCTTGTCTCACTCATCGGGGTTGGCCCATGTACTGCCCTTCAGGCTGCCCTTGCAGCCCTACTCTGCACCCCACACACACAGTCTTTTGAGTGCCTCTTTCCGCCCTACTCTGTGTGGACCTCAACACCAATACTACCTCTCTCCAGGGTCTTTCACCTCTGCTAGGCTCAGGTGCTTCTTTGTTAGCATGCCTGGCCCGCAGTGCTCTCACAATCCCCCACCAAGTGGTATGGCTGAGGTTAAGATGCCCCTACCTGCCTTTCATGGGGGAGGGTATCTGATCTGGTATTTCTTGGGGGCTGTCCTGCCACAGACAGTCCCGCCAGACCCCGCTTCCCTAGCAAGGTGCAGTTTCAAGTCAGGAACAGGACCAGGAGCCTTCTGCCATCCCCACAGCTCCTGCCCTTATCTCCAAGTTGTTCCAGGAGTAGCAGCTCAGCCTGATGTTGCCTCCCTGGGTGCTGGCAGCAAACTGCTGCACCAGCCCTGTGGACCAGGCCCTAAAATGGCCATCTTCATCAAGCACATGCCGGCTGCCTGCTCCCAGCCCTTAAAGTGGCAGGCACCAAAGGTGCACTGCCACACTCCCACTTCCATATATTATTTTGGTGCCCACTTTGCATTCATCTAAACAAGGTTTTATTTTAGATAAATAACATTCCAGACATACCAGTGTAATCTAATTTTCCTGTGGGATTCCTTTTCTTCCATTGAGTATTAGTTTGTCAAACTTGTGATATATAGTATTGTCAATGTCACTCACAAGATTGCTTTTTCTCCCTTCAGCAATCATTATGGCTTCTCCAGCTGTGTTGATGCGCCTAGTTGCCTCTGCCTATTCTGTCGCAGAGAAAGCAGCAGCAATTGTCAGAAAAGTGATGGCAGGAGGAGATCTGGGAATAGTGGAAAAGGTACTTGTTTGGCTTGTGATGGTTTCATCTCTGTTAAGAAAAGTAGGTTAGATACAGTTAAGAGAGGTAACGGTCAGACAGCTCCAGTATGAGAGAGGGAATATAATTCATTTGAGTAGCATAACCTTAACTTATTGAAATGGTGAGCTTTCAAATGGATTCCTAAACCTCCACTGGGGATATGCAGAGCTGTTTAATATCCTACAATAAATGTGAATGCACAGTGTTTGCTTCTTGCTTCAGACCTCACTTCAGGAATATTATATATGTACCATGTAGAAAGCTTCATGCTAATTCATCCATAGTACCTTTTTGTCATCTGTTTTAATGTCTGTCCTAGGATAGCTTAAATAGAAATATTTTGTTTATGTTGATGCACATTAATTTAAATCATCATAAATACAAATTCAGTTAAAAACTAAAATAACATTTTATTTTATTTAAATTAATTCTTTTAAAGCAGATTTTTCACATTTAATTTAAACAGTTTTCTTGTAAAAAATCATAAACCTGTTCAAAATTAAACATAATAGTATTACTGCCTGTGTAAAGGTTTAAATTTACTATAGTCTTTTAAAACAATTTAACTAACATATATGTTGCATGTTACATTGAGCTCTGAAATTTCACCGAGTTAAAGGACGCTTGTTTGTATTGGAGGGAGGGATATCTTTCACTTCTGAATTCAAATAAAACTTTGTGTATATGTCATAATGTTATGTACTGTATTTAGTAAAAAACTATTATTTGCAGTCTTTACAATAGAGCACATGCTGGTACTTGTATTTACCTACTACTCTGGACACTTTGCCTCCTACCCTATCTTTGCTGCCACCTGCACTCATCAACTGGTAGCTTCAGCCTTCCCTGCATCCTCCATAACTATATTGCCTTCTGCATCTCGTATACTTTCTTCTGTTCCTCCTGGCTCCAACATACTTGTAGAATATTTTTTATTGTCATGTTGCCTCCTCCCTACCAGAATTTTATCCAGATATTGGTGGTAGATTGCTGGTAATAAAGTAAATACACATCAAAAACTTATTTTTGTTATACCTGCTAGTATGGGATTTTTCCCTGGTGTCTTCAGAAAATTGATAAGAGTAACTGCACTTCATAACTTTCAATTACATCAGTTGCTATCTGTTGTCTCTTATTTTTCATGCATTATAAGTTCCTTTTGCTGCTTTCACTTTGCCTTTGAATCAGGATGGATGTCACTGAGCCAAAATGAGCTTTATACACATTTATTGTCTTTCATGATTGTAGAATTGTAGCTGTTTTTAGCCATCTCAGACTTTTAGAGAGTGCTTGATGTTCTTTCACTTTTTTTCTCTGCAAATTTTTCTGTCCAGTCAATTTCCCTCAATTTTGGGAAAGTAGTTCTTTTGTAGAACCAAGTATTTTTCTGTGTAGTATAATAGGGTGGGATTCTCCATTCTTTGTCCATACTGAATGATTGGGTCGTCATGATTTGTGGTCTCAAATCACGATCATATCAGATGCCAGTTGGTAGGTGTTCCCTGAACTTAAAGCTTCCCCTGCTTTCTCTTCAGATTTCTGAAAATGACTTATTTATCTTCTATACTGTCTGTAGCCATGGGTCGCCCCTTCCAAGGCTCTTCCTGCCTGTTCTGACAGTGAACTCTTGCATTCTGCCTGCCTCACAACACCTGTTTGGGACATTTTTGATGGATTATTATTTGGGACACTTATAGTCCCCAGTGTGAACGAGGTCCCATTGTGCTAGGTACTTGCTTTTTAAGAGAAGTTTCTACACAGTTTATAATGTAAACCAATAGGAGGGAGTGGACAGGAGATAGGGTTCTATCCGCTCTGTGATGCGATCCGCTCCAGCTGGTCAGGGACCTGTGCTGCACATAGGGTTTGCAGGCGCCACATGCAGTGCAAGTCCCAGACTTGCTGGAGTAGTAGCTGCATGTGGTGCAGTTCCAGAGCTGTAGGAATAGCTGCTTTGGCTGGATTGCACCACACACGGCACGTGTCACTGCTGCTCTGGGATCTGCACCACATGTATGTAGTGCAGGTCCCAGACCAGCTGGAGCAATTGCTACATCAGATATGCTAGGGACAGTTGAGGGGGCAGGGTCCATGGCCTTGATCCAGCCTTCAGACTAGCCTCATGCCACTCATCTACCTTGCAGAGCTGGATGAGTTTGACACCCCTGCTTTAACCAGATCACAGATGAAGTAAGAGCTGCCTTCTCAGTAGCTCCTGTCCTGCATTTCTATTTCTCTGTGTCCTTTCAATATTACATGAAAATATTTCCTTTCCTCCCTTGTTTTTGCCATTCACTTCCTATTTCTCGCACTTCCTATGTTAAAGTTCATGATGTGGAATATTTGTGCAGACATCATTACTAGGGGTGTGTGAAATGGGCCGTATTTGATTCGGAGTTGGCCCGAATCGGGGACAGTGATTCGAATCAATGAACCGATTCGATCGGCCAAATCCAAATCTGAAGATTTTATGTTGATTTGGAGAATCAGCGATTCGGACATAGACACAGCTTTAAATGTTTTTTCTACATACCTTGAGGTACCAGTGCAGCTTGTGAACGCTGTGATGCTGGGGCAGATGGAGTGTACCACAGGAGTGTGGGGGGGGCCCTCCATGTGCTCAGCAGCAAACCTGGAAGTGGACTGGAAGTACTTCCGGGTCTGCCAGGGAGCACACCCTTGGCTTGGACCCCAGGTGCCCCCCCAAACCAGTAGGCATCAGTCAATGGGGGGGAGGGTTGGGGGGGGGGGGCAATGTGCTCCCAGGTGGACCCAGAAGTGGACTGGGTGCTTCTGGTTGACTTTCGGGGCTGCTGCCGAGTGCACTGGGGACCTCCCCACACTGCTGTGGGATGCTTCATCTGCCCCAGCATCTCAGTATTCATGAGCCGCCTGCTACCTAGAGGTATGTAGAAAAAACTGTGTCTGTGTGCAAATTGTCAAATCTTTCCAAATCTCTCCGAATTGATTTGGAGGGTTCCAATTCAATTCAGAGAGATTAAAGGGTCTCCTGATCCAATCTGGATTCAGAGATTCGGCCACCGAATTGGGCTGAAACTCTGCCGAATCAAATCAGCGATTGAAGCTTCGTACAGCCCTAATCATTACACAAAAAATAAAGTACTGTATTTCACGGTGCATAGGTCAACTTCGGTTTGACAGTTAGGATTTTCATAGGGATGGTGTGTAATTTGGGGCTGGGCTCGGCGCTCAGCTGGTGCATCCCCATCCCTTGTGAGTGACGCTGCCTGGGCCGCACCAGCTGAGTGCAGTACCCGGCCCTGTCCGCTGCAAGTAGCTCTGCCAAGCACCGAGCCTGCCCCATCCCAAGTTAGCAGCACTCAGCTGGCAGGGCTGGGCTTGGAACTTGCAGAAGACAGGGACAGGCTTGGTTCTCGGCTGGTGCAGCCCCATCCCCTGCGAGCCCAGTGCCACTTGGAGGGGATGGGGCCGTACCAGCTGAGTGCTGAGCCCAACCCTGTCCCTATCTCCTGCGAGTGGCATGTCCCCAGCCAAGCACTGCGCGCGGCCCCATCCCCATCTCCATCTCCTGTGAGCAGTGCCAGGTTTGGTGCTCAGCTGGTGTAGCCCCATCTGCTACGAATAGTGCTGGGCTCATGGGAGATGGGGCCGCACCAGCCAAGTGGCACTCCCGAGCACTAAGCCTGGCTCCGCCAGCCAAGCACCTAGCATTACTCACAGGGGATGGGGATGATGCTGGGTTTGGTGCCTGACTGGCGCAGCCCCATCCCCTGTGCCATGCCAGCCAAGCGCCAAGCGCAGTGCCACTCTCAGGGGACAGTGATACAGTGTGTAATTTGAGGTTGAATTTTAAGAATTAAAAATTGGGCTTCAAACCTTGACTTATACCCTGTGAAATACGATAGCTTTGTATTGAGTGTCTGCTGTCTACTGAAGAGGTCCAGTTGCAGCAGCATTGGTATATCCTTCCTTATGCTTCCCTACTAGTGTTGTACCAATATGAGAGAACTTGGTCTTAATGGCCTCTTATTGAGTTCTTCCTGAGACTTGTGATATTTCTGAGGATCCTAGTCATCAGTAAACCTAATGCTTAGGCTGTTCTACTGTTCTTCATGTAAAATAATTCCTTTCTATCCCTTCCAGTGTGGAGCCAATGATTTGCAGACCAAAGCTGACCGACTGGTGCAAATGAGCATTTGTTCTTCACTGTCACGGAAATTCCCCAAATTAACAATCATAGGAGAAGAGGTGAGAAATTTATTTAATTTAAGTCTTCCACTTTTGATTTACATTTTAATTTTTACTTTCCTTATTCACTTTCCCTTGGCATTAGCCTCATCGGGTGAGCTGCCAGCTAAGGCTGTGTGAAGCTTCGGTCGCTGATTCAATTCAGAGGAGAGTCAGCCCGATTTGGCAGCCAAATCTCCAAATCCGAATCAAATTAGGAGACCCATTAATCTCTCCGAATCAGATCAGAAACCTCCAGTTCAATTTGGAGAGATTCAGTGATTCGGACATAGACACAGCTTTATATGTTTTTTCTAC